AGTTGCGTTAAACTAGACTCCAGAATATCCCTCAATATCGAAACGTTTAAAACCATTTCATGCAATCGATCCATTCAAGCTCTGCGTCGTCAGATTTGCATATCAATACAATATTATCAACTATTATCAAAAACTAAACCATATACTACATTATTCAGGGAAAGTTTGCTCGGAAACTTCTTCGGAAACAAAACAAAAAACAAGTGAAAGAAGAAACGCAAAAAATAACACTACGAAAAAATCATGGTTTCTTGTCTTGCAGTCAGCGTACCTGAAAACAACTCGGTACACAGTTCTCAAGGCCCAAATCTTTTGCAATGTCTTTTGCACACTCCTTCGATATCCGTCCACAACCGTCGGAAAATATATACGGCTCACCGCTCGTATTTCGACCACCGATTACATCGAACGTTTGATTGTGATGTTTATCGAGCAATTTCACTTGAGATTCCTTCAATTTTTTCTCTTATATATTTTTCTCAAGAATTTATATCATCCATTTGAGCTGCTCAAACTAGCGATCATATTTAAGCTGCTCAACAATTTCTACCCAATTCTTCAGCAAGCAGTGAGCAGTTGCAAATGCGCTCAGAACGTGGGCAATCGGTGAGCAAAATGATGAGCAATGAGCATGAGTAGCATGTCTGTGAGGAGCTCTCTTAATGAGTGACATTCGTGAATGCTACCAGCTGAATTGGTTTGACGAATGAACAGATCGGTAATGAACAGATCATACAGAGACCTCGAAAATTCAGCTCCCATTCTTCCAGCTTAATTTTACACAATTCTCTTAGTTTTCAACTGCTGGATTGGGCAACTGTAATTCCATTTAGTTTTAGGCTTAAGCTGAGGCTCACAGCACGGATGAGATATCTATCAAACAAACAGATGACTCGATGTTATGTCGAAGATGAGATGTGCACTAAAAAACAGATGGCTCGCCGGCATTAGTCTCAGCATAAGTTTAAGGCTAAATCTCATTCATCACAATTACGGAATATATTGCAATTTGAATTCGGCCCTTCAAAAGCACTTTCCCCGCATGGACAGCATATTCCAAAAATCTGTATTTTTTAATTGTAAATGATGACCAATTGTGAACACGTTGCTCTTGCATGCGTCAATTTATATGTGAAACGAATGCTGAAGAACATTTTGTATCCCATATGGAAAAAAACCCATCATCATGATGTTCTCGTTGATTCGATGCAGGCAATTGATTTCATCTATTTTATTTATAAGCTAAAGAATATCTTTCATCTAGGGATTAGTTGGAGTTACATTCAGGTGCTAAGGTGTGCCAGACCATTTTAAGGTTGTGCTAATTTATTCTAATCCATAGCATGGTTGCACAACACTGTGCTAGTTTATTCGTCAATGATAGAGCAATAACGCAGTGTAGGTTGTGGTGAAGCAATACCTAATCGATGCGATTCATAACATAATCACACACCTTCGCTTGAGTGAAGCATTGTCCTATTCGTGCCATCAGTTTCGGTATATTCGAACGATCAAAAACACCTAGTTGAGCACGAATCGTGTCCACTTGTCCTCCATTTTCACCAGCATCAAAAAAGTAACATCCGTGATCGCGCATCTGCGAATTTGATGATCCCAAATATACGAAATGTCGATCTGCATTAAGCTAACAACATCAAATCAAATAATCACATCTCAGTACACTCAAACACTCATTGCATAATGTCGTGTAATATTGACTAGTCTTTATTAATTCATTGGAAGTTTGTTTTGAAACTATTCAAAAGATTCCCAACTTCAGATACTTCCGATAGAGACATAAGAAGATATCTTACAATTAGTAAAAGTTTCGCATTGTAAGATATCTTACAATTAGTAAAAAAATCATTATTATCTTTGACAAGAAATTTATGTTTGACAAGAGTTTGTTTGACAAGAAATTTATGCTGTAGAAATTTCTTTTACAAA